TTATTGAAAGTTGATTTCATGCATGAATCGAATCAAAATCGAGCAAAATCATGAAAACGTAATTTTAAAGGATAAAGTATTTAATCTTGATGTATTTGAGTGAGAAAAATTATGGAAAAAATATATAAGGTCTGGAAATGATGTAGGAAGTATGTTACAAGGCTTATAAAAATTTGGGGACCATTTTTTTAATTTTTGAAAAGTTGGGGGACCAATTTGGTAATTTTGGAAAAGCTGTGAATGGTTGTATAATTGTCTAATAGTTGATTTACTATGATGTAAGTTGTTGTTTTGGGATTGAAATGAGCATTTAGATGTGAAATATGACCATTTTGGAAGTTTGAAAAGATTGGTGATTTAAGTGCAACATTCACATAGTTGGGGTGCTTCAAGGTAAATGCACCTTTGTAAAAGTAATTGGTTGGTAATAATTTCAGTACTGAAATTTTTTGTATTTAAAATTTAAGTGATAAAATGGTGAATGACCATTTTGTGTAAATTGGAAAAAGTTTGTGCCAATATTAAAAATGAATTATTAAGTGTTAAGTATTTTGATAGAAAATGAGTTTCAAGTATCTTATGGATTTTGTTTTGGGATCTGTTTATGTTAGTATAATAGTAACATATGTATCGTTATGAAATTGTGATTTGTACAAATCGTGATTGATTTGTGACTAAGACAAGTCAAGTATAAGAGAGTTATTGTGGATTATAATGAGACACGTCTTTTGGGTATATAAAGTGTCAAGGTGAGTGCAAATTTAATTTGTACCTGTGTTATAGAATAAATATCGGCTTGCGATGAGCCAGTGACAGAGTTACTATGGTAAGAAGTGACTCCTAAAATGTTATTTGATTTGTGATGCATGCATAACATTATATATGGATGTTTTATACATCATTGGATAGGATTTGCGATAAGTCTATTTCCCATGTTGGAATGCATGATTCCATAAGTACAAGCATGTGATTGATATGATGCTTATGTGTGCATGAGTACATGAAAGTGGGTATATGTGTCATATGTTATTATATGCGACGTGATTTACATGATTACATGTATATGCGATATGTGATACTGAACTACATAAATATATATGAGAAATGATATAAGTTATATGATATGATCTACATGATTACATGCACATGTGATATATGTGATATGGGTTATATGAAAAGGGATCTATGAGATCATACAAGAATGTTACACAATGATCTATGAGATCATACAAGAATGTTATATAAGCTACATGATAATAAGTTATGAGATTACATGTTTATATGATACAAGGGATGTGAACTGTTATAAATAATAATGCTCATGTTATGTGATATGAGAGCTAGGGGTATAGTTGGCATGCCAAGAGTTGAGCGTTCTATGTGGTCTTTCGGGATATATATGTAATCCTTTGGAACATATATGCGGTTCTTTGGGACACATATTTGGTCTTTTGGAATATATATGTGATTCTTAAGGAGTAGTCCTTCGGGACATACATGTCGTCCTTTGGGACATATGATAGGTCATTCGAGACAAGTTACCTATGTTCTTCAGGACATATGGACAGATTACCTATGTTCTTCGGGACATATGGATAGATTACCTATGTTCTTCGGGACATATGGACAGATTACCTATGTTCTTCGGGACATATGGACAGATTACCTATGTTCTTCGGGACATATGGACAGATTACCTATGTTCTTCGGGACATATGGACAGATTACCTATGTTCTTCGGGACATATGGACAGATTATTATACGAGCTGTGGTGACAACATATGTGTGCACAACCTCAAAGTACTCATATACCTTGAGTTATCAATAATGTACATGGGCCTACAAAAGATATCAAAAGTATACATGAGCTAGTATATGGGTTATTAAAGATATAACATAAATACATTGTATGTGATGTATATGCTTTGTTATATGAAGTATATTACATGATTTATATGCGATACTGTGTGTATTGCTTGGTGAAATGTATTATATGATATGTTACAAAGGTTAAGTACAAGATGACATGTTTTAAATGGGTTAATGATAATGATAGAAATCATGATAATGATGTTGATAATAATGGCATATGTGCATGTATGCATTTTTTTATATGAAATGTTCTATGGTTCTATTATATGTTTTATATGCCTTACTAATTCAACGACTTAGTGTGTGATTGTTTCACACGTAGGTTCCGAGAAGAAGAAGAATGATAAAAGTTAAACAAGACAGGTCAATTTCTCCTTTCCAAAGATCAGATCAGAAAAGAATTGAATATTAAGTATTTTGTAATACTGATTGTAGTTGGCATGTAACTAAAGCTTTAAACCGTTTATGCGCTAATAAGTTTTATAAACCGTTTTGAGATAATTTATGTAAATTATTCAGTTGTATTTGGTGAAAGTTTAAAATTATTTTCTATTTTGTACAAGTAAATGTTTTGAAAAGTCAATGTGACACATCGGATTCGTATTCGAATCGGGTACGGGTTGGGGGTGTTACATATATATTATAGTTAATGATAAAAAAATAAAATGAATAAGTGAGAACTTACATCTAGGCCAATTGAAAATATAACATCACTAAAATCACTAAAATAAATCTAATAGTTTATTTATAATTGATTTAAGATTTTAATATTTTTAAACTAATTTTTTTGTTTTCATATTTATTTTTAATGATTATATATATGAAATCATTAAAAATAATTTAATATTCAAATTATAATCATAAGAAAAAATATTTAAGATTGAAATTAAAATCATTAATAAATAAATATAAAATAAATAACTTAAAATTAAAAAAAATTAAAATCTTATATTAATTATAAATAATATATTAGTTTTTTTAGCAATTTAAGTGTTATCATATTCTTAATTGGCCTAGATTTATGTCCTCACTTGTCTATTTCTATCTTTAACTATAATATATAAAAAATATTTTAATTGATTCCTAAATATTAGATATTTTTTAATGATTATATATATGAAATCATTAAAAATAATTTAATATTCAAATTACAATCATAAGAAAAATATATTTAAGATTCAAATTAAAATCATTAATAAATAAATATAAAATAAATAACTTTAATTTAAAATATTAAAATTTTATCTTATTTATAAATAATATATTAGATTTTTTAGTAATTTAAGTGTTATTATATTTTCAATTGGCCTCGATTTAAGTATCACTTGTCTATTTCTATCTTTAACTATAATATATAATATTTAAAATTATTTTAATTGATTCATAAATATTAGATTTAGCCTATTAGTTAAGGCTTTGTTTGGTTACTAACTGATATTGGGTTCAAATGCAATTAAGATTTTTTTTTTTGCCTAAACTTGAACAAGTTTATATAACACATATATTATCTTGATAACAAGTCTGAGAATTGACTCAACGATTAATTCTAAAATTTAGGGGATTTAATCTACAAATTTAGTACATGATAAGAATAAAAGATTTTAAAGTTAATGCTCAAATTAAGGCATTAGATAAATTAAAAACAAAATCAGGATCAAATTAGATTAAATGAAAATCTAAGGAAACAAATCATATACAAATAGTGACCAAAATGGAAGAAAACAAAGCAGATGTCAGCACCGTGAACACGTAACTTTATAAGGACCTGCGCTCTGATTATACTAATTAATTTAATTACCACGTAGACACTTCCGTTAAGTATTAACTGCAGGTGGCTATATTGAAACCATTTAAATAGTTCGGTGCTCATATTGATGCAAATTTGAAAATGTTGGTCATTTCAAGACTCAACTTATGTGGTCATTTATGTAGTTTACCCTAAACTATATACACTTTATCGCAAAACTGTGGTAAAATTCTTGTATAAGTCCCCATTATCATAGCAAAGAGTATATTTTGAACCTTGTGCTTTTAAAACAAGAAAAGGGGTCCATGTACGTTAGAAAAACTAGCCAAATAATTATTCCTTGAAAAATGTTAATTTTATAAAATATTGTATTGGATGATACTACATTAATTTAATATTTAGCATAATATAATAATATGTTTATCTGTTGATGGAAATAATGAATTATATCGATTGTAAACTATTCATTTCTCTTGATTTGGACGTGGATCTATAATCGGTAATGATCCGATTGTTGATCTATAACTTTCGTGACACGGATATAGATGAAAAGCTGTCGAGAGAATGCTTGAAAAGCTATAGAAGAAGTCTTCATTTTGTATGTCATTGGGGTTTATATATCAACTCAGCATGTAATTTACCCTCAATTTTATCAGAGAATTTACATCTTTGCTGCGTAAAGATTATGTTTAAAGCGATATAGAGGGACATATCTTTAATTTCCGATTTACATCTTTTTTTAATTGTTAGTATATCATATTTTATTAAACTTAGTTTTAAATGTAAATATTAAAATATGTCTTCTAAATACATAAATATAAAATAAAACATTTAAATATGTATTTGTGGGATGATAATGTTAATTTATGGTCCATCCCCACCTTTCAAGTTTTAGTTTAATGGGATGATGACCAAAATCTATCCCTCCCTTCCCTTGGACCTCTTAGTGGATCTTGAAGTTGGGGTGTGGATTATATAAATAAGTCAACTTTGTGCGTAGTAGATATGATTAAAAATAAAATTCAACAAATATGAGAAGAAATAAAACCCTACCATAATATCCAGCACCATAAGAAATAATACCAAAAGCTAGGAAATATACTTAAACTAAAAGGTAAGGCAATCCCATCAAATCATCACCATCACTTAGCGCTAAACAATCTCCACCTGCACTTTGAATCTTCCAGAAGCTTTTGCTCCAATGAGTAGGAAATCTTTCCTTTTCACCTCTCCTATCTAATAGATGGAGATATATTTGATAAATAGCGACGGGCGTAGAATTTAATAAATATTTTAAGAAGATCATATATGATTATGGAAATTATAAAAATAGATTATTGATATAAAATATAAAAAAAATCTAAAATATATATTAATTTAAATTTTTTGAAGTAGACTGTTGGTGGTTCATCCTTATTGATAATGGACTTTTCATCATTCAATGTGATCTCCAGTACTTTGCCATTTCAAACCCATTTTGGCTGCAGTGGTAGTCCTTTATGGTCTGATCAATCTCGGCTTGTGTGTTCATCACAAAGGGACCATGTTGAACCACCGGTTCGTTCAATGGCTGCCCCGCGATCAGCACAAACCTTAATGTCTTCGACGATGACTTGTTCCACACGCTAACCCCGTCTCCCGGTCCCAAAACCGCCACATGGTTGGCCGATATGGGTGACTTGTTTTGGTACCCAAACACGCCCTCGCCTTCTATTATGTATGCAAACGCATTCCATGATTCCGGGATTTGTTGGTGAACTTCTGACCTCGGCATTAAGGTGAAGTCGAGGTACATCGCCGGAGTTCGGGTGTAGACCGGAGATCGGACTCCCATCGATTCTCCGGCTATGACTCGAACTTGTACTCCGTCTTGTTCTGCACTTGGAATGTCCTCGCTTAAAAGCTCCTGATACCTTGGTTCAATCCTGCAATGAAATATCCAACTCAAAAGATAAACTCGCTTGACTTGTAGTGTACTATTGGAAAAGATACGGGGTTCTGGTAAACAAGAAATATTCTAGAAGATGTCATGACTTTTGCAGATAAAACAAGACAAGAATAGTGCGTTTTTTTTCCAGAAGAAAACAACACAGCTCATATTTGTTGTCAATTATGTTTGGCCACAAATTATTTGATTAATTAGCCAAAAATACTTTGACATAAAGTATGACCAAAAGTTTCCAATGTTAAATGGTCATCTGTTGCTTTAAATTGAACACAAAATCAGGACCGACGTGTAATTTTGTGTTAAGATATACAATTTTATGAAAATATATTTAAAATATAAGATAATTTGAAATTTTAGAATTATCCACGCACAGAATCCCAATTTTATTTTGAAATAAAACTATGTTTTCTTACATTTTTTCTTGGGAGGAGAGGTTGATCCAAAGCTGCAGGCCCTTATGAACACCTTCACCAGCAGGCATTTCAGAGTGGATTATCCCTCTTCCTGCTGTCATCCACTGCTTAATCCAAAACCCCAAAAACATATTCTTTAAGACAACCCCAGAAATTTGAGCAGGTTTATCATTTAAACCGACAAAACAATCACCTGCACATCACCAGTATGAATTGTACCCTTATGCCCCGCAAAATCTTGATGGGTAATGCCTCCCTGAAAATCCAGAAAGAAAAAAAAGGTCCCACATGTCTCAGTGATCAAATTGTCTGTGGTGTGTTTTTGCAGAAATTAATGAAACAAGAATTTTACCTGTAACATGTATGTAACAGTTTCAAACCCTGTAAGAAAAAGCACAACATTTGCATCAGAAGAATATGATTCAAAACCACTATAAAGAGAGCGTTTTCTTGCTTCCCCCCCCCCCCCAACACATTTATAGTGAGAAATTCAAGAACCTCTGTGAGGATGGTCAGGAAATCCAGCTGGTGGAGACACTGCAAAAATCATTGGCAAAAGAATCCGTCTTAAAATTTTAAAAGTTATTCCTTAACATGAAATCTTGTTTACAAAACAGACATCGTCAACGCGTACCTGTAAAATCATCCATCATGAGAAATGGATCCAAAGACTTCAACTCACTCCTGAAACCAAACACAAATAATCAGAAAAAAAAATGAAAATAGAGAAACAAACGCGGAGATAACAAGAACAGAAGAAACCTTCCAATGCATCGGCGAACAATTGCACCGTCGCCCTCGCGTTGATGCTTGGCGAGAACCTTCTTGGTGACCAATCTGGGCTGGTTGAAACAGGTTTGGTCGGATGCAGACATGGTTTCTTTTCTTTTCTGTTCTTTTCTAACAATGTTTTTCCTTTGGTGTCTGTAATCGATGAATATGAAACTTTGTCTTTCTGGGTTTATTGAGATTTGGATGTGGGTGATGACGGGGGGTTTATATACAAGTACTGAACCTTAGGGGTGATTGAGACTACAAAATTAAATTAAAAAAGAAATAAACAGAGGGAGGGAGGGTTGGTCGGAGGGTATGACATAAAGGGAGGCGTGGGGAATTACATAAACAAAGGACCCATTTATTTCTTTTCCACCCATCATCATCATGATGTCAAGCTTTTGTCATCATCATCATTATTCTTTTTAGAGAAGACTTAATACCAATATAAGTGCCCAACCTATATCTAAATTCTAGAAGAGGTGTCTATATTATTTTTTGACCCATTTAGGTGTCTAACGTTATAAACGTTATCCAGGCGTTAACTTATCCGTTAAGTGATATGTGTCACAATTTAATGATTTTATAAATTTTATTTAAAATCAAAAAGATAAAATTATATATATATATATAAGAAAAATATAAATATTTTGAAATAACCCCAAAAACTTTGAAAACTTTCGTTCCAATCCCTAAACCCACAACTATCGCCCTTTACCGTCGACGAAGCAAAACCCCCATAAAATCATGACCGATCGAAGGTCGATTCGACGATGAATCAACATTTTATACATCGCGAATCCTATGATGGAAATCGTGGTCCCATGTGATCTCGACAGTCAATCAACAACAACTATGACGACTTATGACTAGGACGATGACATGGACTATGTCGACGGCAGTGATTGTGGCTGGAATGAAGGGCATCGATGGGTTAAGAATAGTATTTGGGGATTTTAGGTATTTTAGTGATTTTTTATAATTTAAGAGAAATTAGAGTTTTTTTTATAGATATAATAATGTTTCTTTAAAAATAAATTTCAAAATCATTAGATTGTGATACGTATAACTTAACGAGAGAATTAACGCCACTGATGGTCCGAGCACCTAAACGGATAACGTTTGTAACATTAGACACATGTATAGATCAAAAAATATTTTAGACATATATTCTAAAATTTATGTATAATTTAGACATTTATTTTAATATTAAGTCTTTAGAGAAATAATGTTCTCGTCTAAAAATATTAAGAAAATGTAAGACATTAACCTTTTCTTCAGGGATGTATGACATTTACTACGAGTCTATAATGAGATTTTAATTTTTTATTCAATTATTATTCGGAGAGTTTTAATAAAATAATATTCTTTATAATCCATTTTAAAAAATTCTACTAATTTTTTAAGATTAATATAATAAATGTTATAAATTCTAAAATATTTTTATCATATGTTGTATTTTCTTAATAATTTTTGTAACACCCATAACTTATATAAGTATCGATATACGAGTTAAAGATGTCACATTAAACTGACTAACAATTTCTAATCACAATTACTTAATTTTAATTTTTTTTATTAAACATTCATAGTTTCAACTATTTTTTTTATCTACTTGAATTTTCATACCATTTATAACATATTATTTTATTTACTATATAATTTTAGGCTTTTTAAAAATACTGATAAGCTAATATAATGAAACTAAACAGTCCTAATTTACTATTACAGACCATATAGTCATAACTGATAAACTAGGTTGATAATATAAATATACATGCCACTACTAGTCAAAAGAAACATCGGTGATGTCTTACTGATACTGATATTACAAATGATCTGCACACGATGTTGGGAGGCTCCTCACAAAACGTCTGTGTCTCAATCAGAACCTACGCATGAAAATCATCACTCGTTAAGTATAACTTAGTGAGGCAGTAATACTAAAGGTGAGAACAAATAAATAAAATATCGAAATATATAAAATCATTAAAATAAAACAGACTAAATTTTTCAGAATGTTCAAACTAGATATCTCATGCTGAACTTTATCATAAACCTGAAAAGAATCATCTGATAATTTTCACAAGATTATAATAAATCAGATCAGACAGAATAATCAGTCCATATTCCTTTGTGGTTAAACACTTATCAGAACTTTCTTATTTCATATTTATAGCCCAAAGTATATTTTAAGAGAATATAAGGTACGTGAGTCAGACGAGTGTGTGCAATACAAATATCAGATCATCAGAGTCAGAACAGATAAGCACACACAGTGCTATCACATCGGAAATAAAAATATGCACACCAAGTGCATTCATATCAGAATATATATATACTAGTGTAAACTCCGGTACACCACAGTATATCAGAATCAGAACAGATAATCACTCCACCTAATGACATGACAATTGTACCTTTGACTCTCTATATAACATACAATTGGCTTTCAGTTCATTTCATAATCATTTGATAAACATCATATCATAGTCAGAAATATATTTAATTCACATTCGTAAAATGTGACATGGGCAGTTCATACCCAAAAACTTTTATAAAACTTATTAAAAATATTATGGATATAATTCCATAATCAAAACATAATTCATATCTTTGAAATAAACAAGGTGAGGTTGACTTATCGTAAGTCGTCATCGATCAAAATAATTAAATAAATAAAATGCACTCACCTTTGTCTCACTACAGAACTTGTATACGATAATACCAGTCACAAGCTTTGTCCTTTCCTTTCAGATCGTTCGGATTGCTAGTTTTATTGAAATCTGACAATACCAAATTATAACACAAAATGTTTAAACTACATATTAGTATCGTTATAACATAAGCTCATTTTGACATTTGAAAATCTATAAAAATAAAATGGATAACTAAATCAATATCAATCTAACTCATAACTCCATTATAACTTCAAACTTCTCGAAACAGTTATTCAATTCCACAAATAATTATTCCCAACATGATCTTCAACTTTTACCAATTATAAAATCAAACCACATATTTTAAATTCTTTCTAGAATTCAACTCAACTTTTCCTTTAATTCATAATGGTCCTTCGCCATTATGATAATTGTACATTAATTACTAAAATTCCAGCACTTGAATAAAATACCCAAATAATACTTCTTCATTTAAGAACTTGTAAACAAGTCCCCAAAGTTTTGGAACCTTTCAAATTCCACCATCTAACCATTAAAATGAATTCTTTTAGAATTCTTCTCAACATTTCCAATTTATTCAAAATGGTCTCTTTCCATTTAACTTCAATTCCAAGCATCCAAAATTATACTCAACATTTAAACATTATTCTTCATCTTCTAATCCATTTCAACTTAAATTCTAAAATTTTTATTTTCAGACAACTTGCACAACCTTTAAAGAATCAGTATTTTGTATTGATATACATACTGGAATTTAATTTCGTTTCTTCCATTGAAAACTTGACTCGAATACGAATCTATCCATATAAATAACTCCTTCTAATTCATTTTGTACAATTTATGGTGAATATTCAAAGTTGACTGACAGAACATGTTTTGTGCAGAATCTGCTACCCGTTTTTCTGACATTTCCTCTGTTAAAAATTCATATCTTCTTTATACACCTTGAAATTGATCCTCGTTTGTTTTAAACAAAACTATATTGATATACGAACACAACTATATAAAAATCACCTCCAAATCATTTTTATAGAATTTTTGGTGAATTCTCAAACTCACTACCAGATTCAAAATCTAAACTGTTTTCCTTAATTTGTATCCTTAGGTTCTTCATCAATTCTTACAATCAATTCCTTAAAACCACTTAACTCTTCATAACTCCAAATCATAAAATCTCATCACATAATCATCTTCACTATGAAATATTGGTACCAAATGATAGAGAATTTCATGTAGATTAATTCTCTATCTAATAACTAAATCCCAAAATTCAAGTATATTACTTCAAAAATCAAAATAAAAATCCTTACCTTGTTGTGTAGGCTTGATAGTAGCTGAAGATGGAGAGAAAGAGAGAGTTCGTGAGATTTCTATAAGAAAAATCTCTCCCCCTTATCTTTAATATATAATTAAAAATGAATTTTATATTCATTTTAGGCCAAAAACTCAAATTACCCTTAATAAATTCCCAAAATTACCTCCATGCCACTCCTTCATCTTAATTTTAATATTATTAAAATAGCTGTAAATTTCTCATCTCTCAAATTTTCTTTTTGACCCTTAAATATTCCAAAATTTCATTTTAGTAACTAAAATTCCACTGTTCGGTCAAATCTGAAAAATTGATTTGTTCTGAACTAAATTTCTCTGATCTAAAATATGAAAATAATATTTCCAATCATTTTAACATCCTTCCAATTTTCGTAAAATTTCGGCTCGATTCAATTATTCGATTTCAATATCGAACTTTACTGCTTCTAGCTTTTAACACAATTCCTGTATCAAAAATCTGATTCTCACTAAAATCTCTGTTTTAATCCAAACTGTTCATTTACAGGCTAAAATATATAACTTTTAAAATTACAAATTTCAGTCCCTACACTTTTTAAAGTTTATACTTTAGCCACTAAACTTTCAAAACTTACATTTTAGTCACCGGTCAAAATTTGGGGTAATACAATTTTAGGCAGAAATATTATTTTTCTAAAAAATCCTACAAACATTATATGAATATGTTAAAAATATACTAATTAAATTATATGTTTTTATTATTTATAGTTAGTTTCTGATTTTTTTTAATTAAAAAATACAAAATTTTATTCAAACATCATGATATCACAAAACTGTTGACATAAATGATTAATCTTTCAATAGTATATATAAATAGGGTAAAGTATATAAATAGTCTCTCAACTATAGGATATCGTTTTGTTAAGTTATTTGACTATTAAAAATTACAAATGATTTTATTGTCCAAAACAAGTTGCAAATGGTCATCGACTATGTGGTGCTACTTTGTTGAGTTTATCAACTATTAAAAGTTATAAAATGATTGTCTTAACTATTCATTATATTTCAAACCCATCATTTTTCGTTAAAAAATTAATGATCGTATGAGTTAGACATTAACATGTTGATTG